TTTGAAGGTCTGTCGCGTTCCTGCCAGCACGAACTGTGTCATCAAACCTATTCCATCGTTCCTCCGACGCGAATTGCCTCCTTTATCCACAACACCCACGGTGTCACCGACAGGTACCTTCTACCTTCGTCAAAATTACGAGCGATCCCTAAAATATCGAGCTATTACTCAGTGTCTGCGAATCGTTTTGCGCGTAATTCCTGCCTTCCGTCGGCCTACACAATACAAACGAGCAACTTCATCAATTTTTCCCGTTACGGCCACGCTGTCTTCTGCGAGCCTTCACACCAGTGAGAGGCCGTAGACGTCTCAAATACTTGGTGTACGAGTGGCCTAGCCGTGCGGGGAGGTTCACCTTACCTCTCCGGACATCTAATACTGAAGGCGATTCACATCACCTTTCAGTTCTACCCAAGGGACGAGGAAAACCCTGGTTTACCTACGTTCAACTTAGAATCATACAAAGATATTCGCAGTGGCACATCGGTGCTTTAGTAGCCGAGAATGACCCCTACACCATCTCCCTTACCAGCAATGGCTGCCTCTATACCTCCTACATTCTCCTACGCCCAAGCCGCGAAGGGCCAGAAATCCGCCACCACAACATCTTCTACATTGCAAAGCCAAGCAACATCTGGCATCAGCACGCCAACCAAAGATAGCCATTCTACTAGCAATACCCCTTTAGCTTCGGTCGGTGGAGCCGCAGTTACAGTTGGATCTGAGACTAGCGACAAAGAAATAAACGGCAATGGAGAGCCTGCCACGAAGAGTGATTCTTTGGGTTTGGGCGTTGATTCTGACTCTAAGTCAATCACCTTGGTTAATTCCATACCAGCATCTCCGAGCTTCGGAACGGCATCGACCTCGACGTTACCGAAAGAGGACGATCTGGATCTGCCTTCTGCTACACCAGTAGAATCTATTTGGGATCGAAACCCGCGCTCTGCAGCCGGAGCTGAGAAATCTGCTGAAGCTAGCGAGGGACGACGAGGCAAGAAAGGTAAAAAGCAAAAACAGGCTGAGAGAGAGGCCGACAAGGAGGCTGAACGAGAGGCTGAGAAGGAGAGAGAAGAAGCTGAGAGAAAGCTTCTTGTTGCCGCACCACCACCTGCAGTAAACATCTGGCAACAGCGGAAAGAGGCACAGGCACTGAAAGCGAAACCAAGCCAAGCACCAGCCAATACTGCGCATAACTTGGGAGAGGCATCAGCGTCCGGCGAGAGTCTGGTCAAGCCGGTCGATTCTAAGAAGAAGAGTAAGACATTTGGAGGCGAAGATGGAGATAAAACTCATGCACCTACTGTTGTGGTTAAAGATGCGTCCATATCTAGCAGATCTCAAAAGAAGGGCTCTGAAAATACAACCAAAGCAAAGGAAGATGCACCAAATAAGAGAGCAGGTCCGCGTGGAAGCAGGGTGAGCGACAAAGAGGCCGAGAAGAGTGCTACATCATTGCCCCCGCCTGTGGAAGATCCGGTCTCGTGGCCTACCCCAGAAACAGCATTAGAGGAGGAAAAGCGTAAGGCCCAAGAGAAGGAGAGAGCCGAAAAGGAGAAGGAGGCTCGAGATGAGACAGCATCTAATAAGGCCAGGCCGAAGGAGAAGTGGATGCCAGTGCCTTTTGTCCCTTCAGTCACTTGGTCGACACCAATGCCATCGCAGAGAGGTGGAAGAGGTCGCGGAGGCGCTCGTGCAGCCGGGAGGGACTCCAACGGTCGAGGAAGCCATGCTTCAAACGGAGTTGGCAATGGTGAGAAGTCAACCAATGGATCTGCTGTCGCAGTTGCGGCTGCTGGAGATGCAGAGAGTCGAGGAAGAGGTACCTCAGCAGGGACCCGATCAAGCTCTTTACCTCCTACTAAGCGGCTCTCGCACGATGCCAACGCGCAAGGCAAGGCGTCAGTAAGCCATTTAGAGAAGGCAAAGACTGGACAGAACAATGCTCCAGCCAAGCATGAATCAAGCAACGAGTCTCAGCGCATCAGTGCGGGTACAAATGATAGTATTCCAGATAATGTCAAGGGCCAGAAAGACCAAATTAAAGCTGTTCCGAAAGATAATGGCTCAGTTTCAGCTTCTACTGAACGCAGAGGCGACGGCAATGCTCGAGGAGCCGATCAACCTAAAGAAGCTGCCAATCTGGGCAAAGATGTTGGACAGTCTCGTGATAGAGCAGATGGGCGATCTGATCGAGGCCGTGGAGGCTATCGTGGTCGTGGTGGTCACAATGGATTTCCAAATGGCCAGCCACAACCTCCTCAACACACCTTCACTAATGGCCATGGTTCTGTACCAAATGGCTATGGTCCGCGCCAAAGTTCTGGTCCGTACAGCCCTGGAATAGCCCCTGGACCATTTAATAATGGCCAGTATATCCAAGGCCCAGCAAGAGGCGGACGTGGCAATTCGCGGTCATCGACGATTCCCAGCAATCCAGTATTTCCTCGATTTACTCAAGGTGGAGGTCCACCGCTTGGACTACAAATGCCAAACCCGATGTACGATTATTCACAACCTCAGCATCCCATGAGCGCTATGCCCTTTAGTCCTTCTAGTGACTCGTCAGTCATCGCCCTTATAAAGATGCAAATGGAATATTACTTCTCGATCAACAATCTTTGTAAGGATGTCTTCTTGCGAAAGCATATGGATTCCCAGGGATTCGTTTTCTTGCAGTTTATTGCTGGCTTCAAACGCCTCCAAACACTGTTCAATGACGGCCACCAACCAGCCCATGCGTTCGAGCTCTTACGCATCGCTTGTTACGAAACGCCTGAGGTAGAAATCATAGCTGGCGAAGATGGAATCGACCGGGTCAGAAGAGCAGATGGATGGGAGAAGTGGGTGCTGGATATGAGTGCGAGAGACGAATCCGTCAGAAATGATGGTCCCACTCAACACATCCGCCAAGATCCAAGAGAGAGATTCCAATACGCACCTCCAGTACTGCCACACTTTCAAAATTTCCCGAGCGTGCCAGAATCCCGCCAGATGCCTAATGGATTACCCCCTACCCCTCATGGTATGAATGGCAACGGTTTTCACGAATCCCCTGTTCAGCTAGCAGGTGGAGCTCCAAACTTCACACCGGGCGGATTCAATTCAGTGCAGACTAGCAACGGATTCCCACCTGTCTCTAATGGAACTTATACTTCCCATGGGACACCTGTTGATGAACGTCTGCAAGGAGAGACAACGTTCTCTGATGAGAATGTTCAAAATCTCACGCTTGTGTTTGACTCGCCAGAAGGCAACCGCGCCGCCAAATCGGGAGCGCCCTTCCACAATGCATCATCAAGAACCTTCTCCCATGGCTCAATAGACGGAAGCTCAGTTGCCGAGGAGTTCAATGGTCGTCAAGGCCCGGGCGTGATCAACGGCACGCATTCGAACGAAGCGTAAGGCTCGCCGCTCCGCTCTTGGACATCCTTGCCAATTGACTGACGAAATGCTAGCTCTTCTATTGATGTACGGCGTTCAAGGAGTTCATTCTCGCCTATTTCTCAGTCAAAATCTGTCAACAGCAATGGGCCACCCGTCATGTGGGTGAAGGGACAGTCGAATCAAGGGCCTTTGTCTGAGGATAATACGGAGGCTTATACCACAATTCTTGCTAAGGCGCTTACCAGTCGAGAGTTGCCTAATACGACCGGTATTATTCATGTTGAGATGAAACAACTCTATGATTTCTGGTCCCATTTTCTTTGCAGAAATTTCAACCCAAAAATGTACACCGATTTTCGAAGATTTGCATACGAAGACTTGGCCAAGAACTTCGAGGAAGGCAAAATTAGTCTTATTAACTATTATGTTGAGACTTTAGCCAGCAAAAAAAAAGTCATCCCGGATGCGCTTGCGGAAGATTATGTCAAGCTTGTCCAAGATGAGTACCGCACTACTGAGCCTGAAGACGATCGCCCTGCGTTGAAAGCTCTTAGGACAGCATGGAGAAATGGTGCACTTGATCTCCGAAGCAGAAAGAAGATTGATAAATTAGTTGATCAGGACTTGAGGAAGGAACTCGAATCATAGTCTTTGGTTGTCTCTGTGCCGAATATTTTCCAAGTTTTGGGTTTCCTTGGGCGGACTTTGAATCGGAGTGCTTTTTTGAGGATACCCAACATCATATTTTGGCCGATGTCTTCATCTGTGGGCTCTGCTTCGCTCATCTGGAATGGCCACTATTTCCGCTTTCGCTCCTTTATCGGTCTGCAATTCCCTCGGGCTTTCTACTCTCCTACATCTACGAGCCTTCAAAAGGAATGTTTCACTCGGCGTTTGATAGGGTAAGGAATAGCAAAAATTGGAGATATCTGTTTTGCACCAACCCTCTTGCGCGCCCTCATCTTCTCAGGCTCGACCACCGAAAATAAAAGGCATGCGCATAGCCACTTTCACACACCACACATTGTGTTTGCACCATGTTAATATCGTTTTTCTGGCATAGCCTCGGTTTCCTTCTCGACACGTACACCAAAAGTTCAGGCAGACTCATTTTCTGTCGCGCTGTGCAAGCGTAAAGCTCTTTCTTCGTTCATGCTGCACATGGTACAGCATTTGTCACGCATTAATGGTTTCTTTCTTCCCTCTTTTAAAAGCAGTGGCTGCTCGGAGCCATGGGCAATGAGCAACGCGGGTTTGATATCAAGCGCATGGGGAATATCGGTGTTACACTCATAGAGGAGATAAAATTTGCTGCATTGTACCATAGCAAGAATGGGCAGTACTTTGACGAGAACCTAGTTTTCATCATGATTTGAGATTTGATTTGTGACCCAAGCTAACTTCACTTTCCCACTACATGGCCATCGTTTGTTTAGCTAATATTTTGCATGTCTCGGCGCAGTAAACCCCACTAGCGCCCCTCCTTACCCAATTACCTTGCACCTTTCCCACTTTCAAGGAGCTTTCAAGCAGCTTTCTTACACATTTCCTACCCTTCCCGCCACACCTTAATATAACTAGTCTTAAGCACAAATCAAATTCAACAAATCAAAGTCTTCGTGGCTCAGTTGGTTAGAGCGTTGGTCTCATATGATTGTTCATGTGAACCAGATCCACTCTGGTACTGTCCAATCCAAAGGTCGTGAGTTCGAGTCGTAAGTAATCATTTCAACGTGCTCGAGTCCCTTATCCTAACATGTCGTCAGTCACCGAGGACAATAAGAGAAAATACTTTTTTCTTTTCTTTTCTTTTCTTTTCTTTTCCTTTTTTGGGGGGGCTCTTTAGCATCGTCCGCTATTATTTCCTTTCGTGCAGAGTAAGGACTGATTCGTGTTGTGGGTTGACAAGAAAGCTTATCTTGACCTCCGTCTTGGAACAAATACTTCTCCTGGGTGGTCTGTGATTTGAAAGCTCTTGAGACTTTAACCCTCTTGGAGCTTTTATCCAATTAACCTTGCAGTGCTCATATAAGATATCCTTTTGTATTCCAGTACCTCTTACCGTTGTTATTGCCGTAAAGTTATTGATTTGGAGATTGGTCTTGTCTTCGCGGCACAACATGTCAAGGGCCAAATTCCTCAAGCTTCTACAAGGATTAAGAGTGCAGGAACTACATTCATAGCTTTTTGTACAAGTTGACGCAAAAGAGATGCGGCGTGACAAATGAGCAGGCAAGTAAGCGAAAATCCTTCCCATCTCGAGCAAGTATAGACACAAGTTACTTTGCTGTCCTAAATGCTGTCCTTTATTTGGTCATTGAGGTGAAGGGGGAAATCAAGGTGAGACAACGCTCTAATCTATGTGAAAGCAGGTCTTATTGAAGGCTGAATCTGAGGCATAGTATTTAAACATTTCCATTATTGGTATGACCTTCTCGTGCGGAATTCCGAAGTCATGGTTCCTTAATGGATATCTTTGAATGTTTATTCCAAAGTCGTCAACTAGTCGGTTGCGTGGTCACAGACCTGGCCTTTTTTATGTTGCGTTCATGTGTGATTCATTTCTTACGTGGTGACTGGCAAATGCATTTTGTTTTACAAACTTAAGAAACGTGAAAGGCTTTGATCGCTATCTCAACTAATAGGGAACTCGCCTTATAAAAACGGAATTTTAAGGATCATCTTTCCTCATAAGTAAGGCAAAGTGGGTATCTAGATCTCGTGCCTTCCTTTCTAGTCAGGGAAATTGAGCCTTGCACCCTCTTTCAAATGGGACATTGGCGCACATATCAACACAACCAAGACACTTCATCTTAGAACCGACCTACTAACATCTCAACATCTTAAGTTACTAGCTAGAAGCATCATGAGCTGGAGGACCAGAAGCTCTGCTATCTTTAAAGAAGGAGATCAGAGGTATTGGTGCCTGCTCTGTGTTTCTAGATATCACATAGCTGACATAATGATCAGTCCAGACAACAATGCTCCGAAGGCGGGAGATGGAAACTTGAAGAGAAATCATGGAGAAAGAGCCATTCCCACGGGTAACTGGCGCGAAAGAAGGCAGCCAGAGATAATCCAGGCGACAGACTGGTTGCACAAATCTGATAATTTGTCAGTGGCTAATCCAGCTACTCGATCAACGGAAAACCAGATCCAAGCGCATGATGGGATGAAGCCAGCAGCAAGGGCAGAGATGCTGGAACCTTCCTGGAACCTTTCTTCAACAAACTCAGCGCAGAAGCAAGACATAAAGCACGAAGGAATGCAGCCGATTCCGGTCGAAGATTTGACATCGCAGGAGAATGTCAGTCCTATCTGCCCAGAATATTCAATCTCTCATATAAAGATGCAGAAGGGAAAGCTAGAGGAGGCCGAAGTATCAAAATTTTCGGCTACAATTACGGCTTCAGAGCAGCGCTTCAACGCAAGCCTCCACGAACAATTTCCCATCGACTCAAGAAAAATGAAAAGTAGCCCAGATTTCAATACACTGAAACAAGAGCTGTTACAAACCATCAGCAGTAACAACTTACAAGATGATGATCCAGATAAGCCAGTCCCACTAGATGACAAGTAAGGTCTATTATCACATGTTCAATTATGGCGCTTGTCCTTATTTAGTACTTCGCACCTTACTGAGAGGCTATTAGATATATCAAGGCATATTGCTTTGCAAAGGAGGCCGAGTTCCGTCGAGTTATAAATCATCGAGTTAGAGGCTGGAGTGAGAACAAGAACACGGGAGACGCTTTCTTCAAAAAACAACGGGAACAGTAAGGGCCACCATACTTCTTTTTATCGTGGATCGCATATGCTCTGAATGGATATTTGGAACGTTTCTAATCTACTGTTAATAAATCAGAGCCGACTCTATAACTATGGTAAACGAGAAATACTTCTTCGATATGATGGTACGGATTGCAGAGGACATGCACAAGAAAACTGGGGTGCTGTCTCCTAAAGTCGGTGCTACTAATATCCATGTCTTGGACTTATGGTAAGCGGCGTAAAGACTTAGGTAGTCTATTATACTAACAGATTGGTACCGCAGCATGGCTCCAGGTGGATTCTCGGATGCCGCGATGAGACGAAACCCTAGAGGGAAGTTCTTCGCGCTCACGCTACCTGAGAATGTAAGTACTTACTTCCCGTCTTTCGAAGGCATATGCTAAGCTCTCCCTTCTAGCTTGGTGGACATCCGTCTCTGATTCCTGCAGAAAAGTTCAGCGGGTCTGTGATAAAAATGGATATTACCTTGCTCCGAGAGCTCACTGATAAACCAATTCCTCGTGAACATCCCGAATACAAAAAATTCAGTCCTATGAAGCCTTTCACATCTTACTCATTCCACCTGATCTTCTGCGACGGGATTGTTCTGAGAAGTGAGTTTAACTAATTCTAGCCTATTTCGGGCTTGAGAGCAGTTGAACTAGTAATAGCTGACCATAATAGCTCATGATCGACCTGAATATCGTCAGAAAAACGAACGTGTGAGACTAATCTATGCTCAATTAATCCTCGCTATGAAACGAATCCACGAGAAAGGAGGTACAATTGTCATATTGATGCACAAAATAGACTCTGTAACGCCTGCCAGGGTTTCAAGGGCATGCAAGGTCTGATCGTCCACATTGATAGCAACCAGCTGATTTTCGCTAGATGTTTAGCATGTTCTCTGAGATTGAGGTTTACAAACCGGAAAAGATTCATGCCGCTCGCTCATCGTTTTACCTAATCGCCAAGAATGTCAACACAAAGTTAAAGGAGTTCACATCAACTCTAAAGATACTTCAGGAGGAGTATCATGAGGCTACATTTGGGGGACGCGAAGGAACGGGCCAAGACTTTTCCTTATCGAGGGAAGAGGTAAGCTGCTCAATACAATAAGCATCTTATTGCAATACCACCTTCCATGGTAGCTGCTGATTCAAAAAAAAAAAAAAGGACGTACTTGCTCTATTGGAAACGTTCGGTGATGAACTCGCGAGGTAAGTTGGATTTATCTATACATCCCGAATGAACTCATATTATGTCGTACATAAATAAATGATTACGAATCGCTGCTGATGTCCTCTCTTCTAGACTCGGCCGACCTATATGGAAGATTCAAGCAGATGCCTTGGCAAAGACTAATTTTGCTGGCGGAAATTTGGGAGAAAATTAGTCTAGGTTATACTGAGGTCGTGTGGCTAGTATAATCTATTGGTGTAGTCGGACATGAAGCATATGATTCAATCGACGCTGAGGTATGCTGACTTTATAGAAAGTCACAGCCCGGCTTCATAGCGAGCGGATTACTTCTGGTCATCTTCTTAGGACCTAGATTTTGCGCTACATGTAGGAGCTTACTAACGCTAGGTGAAAGTTTACATATAAGAGGAATTCAAGAGACGTACCCAAAATACTCCAAGAAAAATCTTGTTCAAGACTGGACAGGGGCCGCTTGCCCCCCTATATCTTAGCGACAGGTGGTTGCCATACGCGACCAAAAAAACAAGTCTTGGGCCTGCAACCCCAATTCGACGACCTTCAAAGCTCTCCCCACCTCACCACAAACTTGCTTTTTTACAATTCAGTACACGAGATATATACATTGAAATTCCCCAAGTTCTCCATTTTCGTGCGAAACAAATACTTACAAGCTCCTAGGGCTCAATCGTATTATATTGGGTTGTGTTTACGCTATCGGTATATCAATAAAGCGATAAGGTAGCCATCATTCCTCACTGGTTCCGCAACACCTGCTAATAGTTGAACATAAGAAAGGATGCGCTCCCAATTTCTCGCTTCCTTATTCATACTCCCAACGTATGCGAGTCAATTACCGCCCGTATTCTCCGATTTCTTCGACTCCCTTCCCGCGAACGAGACGTCATCAGGACTGCTCGGCCATGAGCTCATAAAAAGAGATGGAAATTGCCCAACGAACTACAATTCATGCTCGACCCTCGCAAAGAACTTGGGCGGCGCGTGCTGCACCGCTGGTTCCGTTTGCTCCCTTGATAGAGCTCGGAACGTGGCATGCTGTCCCATCGGCGCCTCCTGCACTGGCACTATAATCGTCGGAACAGCTACAGGTACAACGGGAGTGTTCCTGGGCGCTAGCACAGTGACCTCTGTTTCTGCAACAACCACATCAGGCTCTGCAGCCACGCCTACCATCACCGCAGGAAGCGTCACCTACGTCACGAACCAATACTTCCCATTCCCCATCATCCCGACCACCTACTCCAATTCCGCAGCCTGCAACTCTGCCTACGAAGCGTGCACCTCAAATTATGCCGCTTGCACTGCAAACCTTGCCGGGACGGGCTTTGGCGTTACAATCGTGGCTCCGAATGGAGGAGGAGTGACGGTTGCGCCAACAGTAGCACAGGTGGCTGCCGCGAGCGCGACGAGCATTTGTTCGAGTTTGAGCCAACAGGCTTGTTATGGAATTCAGAGCGATAGCTGTGCGGTTTTTGGAGGCGGGAGCTTTAGTGCAGGGAGTACGGGGGCGGCGGGAAGGACGGGAAGCGGGAGGGGCTGTGTTGCGATGGGGGTGGTGGCTATGGGTATCGCTGGGATGGTTTAGAGTGGAGGATGCGAGCGTGTGAAGATATGATGATCTGAGTGCATTAGCATTGGTATGGCGTTCAGCGGTGTCTTTCAACGGAAAACTACACAATATGTGTGAATGAACTCGACGACTTAATGTACAGTACTGCGATGATAAATTTCTTG